ACTTGGAGGTCCCCCATGCCATTGATGCTATGCACGTGCAGAAGAATGTCTTTAAGAGTCTCATTGCTACCTTGATGGACATAGGCAAGTCAAAGGATAGTCTAAAATCATAGAAAGACATGGTGCAGCTAAACATGATGCCACAGCTTCACCCGGTACCTAAGGCTAATGGAAAATACACTCTGCCCGCGGCGTGCTTCAACCTAACACTAGAAGAGAAGAGAGCTATATGTACTTTCCTAAGGGGGGTCAAAGTCCCGACTAGGTTTTCAACGAATATGAAGAAGCTATTATCGATGAAGGACTTGTCAATAACACACTGCAAGGCTCACGATTATCATGTGATGCTGACAGTGTTTCTACCTATTGCAATCAGGGCTATAAAGCTAGAGTTCTTGAAAATGGCCATCACCTGCATGTGCTACTTCTTTTTGAAGATCTCACAGAAGACGATTGATAAGAAAGAGTTGAGTGGCCTACATGGATTTGTGGTGGAGACTCAAAATCAACTAGAGACGTGTTTACCTCCTATTTTTTTATATAATGCCACATCTCATGATTCACATGGTTCATCAGATACAGGCGTTGGGCCCTTGCTACTTGCATGAAATGTGGTCCTACGAGCGGTTCATGTCGGTTCTAAGCCGATATGTGCATAATTGAGCATACCCAGAGGGCTCCATGATAGAGGGTTATAGTACTGAAGAAGTCGTCGAGTGCTGTCAAGAGTACTTAAAAGTACAGAAAGGGATTGGTAAACCTGATTCTCATCTCAAGGGTAGGCTGGCTGGGAAGGGCACCAGTGGTAGAAAAGTGTTCATCGACCATGATTAAAAAGAAGTGAGTCAGGCGCATTATAGTGTCTTATAGAGTACACAACTGATGCAACCGTACATTGATGAACACTTGGCTATCATTATGGCGGAGATAAATGGTCGTTCAAATGATTGGGTCATGAAACAGCACAAGCAACTACTAACTACATGGTTGAAGGACCAAAATATACCGCATAGAGAAACCCTAAACTCTATTACCATCAATAGGTTGGCGGAGGGGCCATTGAGACAAGTGACATCTTGGAAAGCTTATGACACCAATGGGTACATGTACTATACCCACGCAAAGGATAGTAAATATATAAACCAAAACAACGGCGTTCGAATAGAAGCTCTCGATGGAGTGGGACAAAAATTCAATACTTTGACATCATTGAAGAGATATGGGAACTTGACTATGGAAGGGATATAACGGTGGCCCTGTTTTGATGTCGCTGGATCAAACAACAGAATCGAATGAGATCGGATTGAGAGTCATGGACCTTGAGAATCTAGGCTACCAAGATGATCCTTGGGTGTTCGCTTCACGTGTCGTACAAGTTTTCTATATGTCTGACCCACAAAGTAACCTCCCCCCGAAGAAGAAGACAAAGCATGTGGTTGCCTCCGAGAAACAGCACATTATCGAAGTTGATGGCGTGGACGATGTTAAAGCTTACAATAACTGTGATAAGATGCCGCTATTCACAAACTTTACTAAGAAGATCAGTGTTGTGGAAAAAACCTGTCCAAAGACATATTGCATGGGAACGAAAAGGTGTCAAGGAAAAAGTCATTAGTGCGGGCTAGCTAGTTGTTGAACGTGGAGTGTTTGTGTAAGTATGTGTGTTTTGTAAGACTTTATTTATGCATGTGTGTGAGACTATATATTTATATATGTGTGTGAGACTATATATTTATGTATGTGTGTGAGACTATATATTTATGTATGTGTATGAGACTACATTTATGTATGTGTGTGAGACTACCCTTTGTAACATCCAGATGAACCTATTGCAACATCCACTATATTACTACTAAAATAGTTGTAACACGTAGACACTTGAAATAGGCACTTATTACTACTGTAATATGTTCGAACTATTATTAAAACACTTAATATAAGCACTTAACACTTTATGAAATGAAGAGATGACCAAAATAAAAGTTGGATATCTTGATGAGCTATACAACTTTTATGGTCATCATTTTTACAGCTGAAATTATTTAGTGGTTGGACATCAGGTTTGAAGTTATTATTTTCTGAAATTTAAAATTTGAATTATCCAAAATTAATGACAAAGATAGATGACCAGACTAAAATGATAGAGCATGATTTTAGAAAATTTTAGAAAAAATACCATCATATTTGGAGTTAGTATGAGGGAGAAAAACTAGTTACAAGTTTCAGCCATTGATTAAAAAGAGAAATCACATTTGTTCATCATTGATTATCATGAATAGTTATGATTTTTCTTTTTAATCTCTGATAAAATTTGTAACTAGTCTTTCTCCCTCGTACTAACTCCAAATGTGATGATTTTTTCCTAAAATTTTCTAAAATCATGCCCTATCAAGTTACTATGTTAATTTGGTCATTCTTTTCGTTTGTCAAAGTTTGAGCAATTCAAATTTTCAAATTTAAAAAAATTATAAGTTCTAACAAGATTTTAAAACAGCAAATGATTTTAGCTAAAAAAGTGATGAATAACAAAGATGTATAACTCATCAATATCTACAACTTTTATTTTGATTATTTCTTGATCTGACAAAGTGATAATAAACATTGTTCATAAATAAACAATGTTCACATATAGTTCATGAAACTACGAGTGATATGTGAATTTGTGAACAATGTTTACTAATATTTTGTTAAATAAAGAAGTGATCAAAATCAAAATTGTAGATAGTGATGAGTTCAACAACTTTTATGTTTACGATTTTTGTAGTTGAAATCATTTAATGTTTTAAAATTTTATTTAAAGTTGATATTTATTGAAATTCAAAATCTGAACTGTCCAAATTTGGTCAAATAAATAGATGACCAAAATAAAAGTTATAGATAGTGATGTGTTCAACAACTTTTATGTTCATATCACTTTTATAGCTGAAATCATTTAATGATTGAAAATCAGGTTTGAAGTTGTTATTTTCTGAAATGCAAAATTTGAATTGTACAAAATTAGTGACAAATATAGATGACCAGACTAAAATGATAGAGCATGATTTTAGAAAATTTTAGAAAAAAAACCATCACATTTGGAGTTAGTACGAGGGATAAAAACTAGTAACAAATTTCAGCCATAGATTAAAAAGAGAAATCATACTTGTTCATCATTGATCATCATGAACAGTTGTGATTTTCTTTTTAATCTCTGGGTAAAATTTGTAAGTAGTCTTTCTCCCTCATACTAACTTCAAATGTGATAATTTTTTTTCCTAAATTTTTTTAAAATCATGCCCTATCAAGTTACTTTGTTGATTTGATCATTCTTTTCGTTTGATAAAGTTTGAGGAATTCAAATTTTCAAATTTAAAAAAATGATAAGTTCTAACAAGATTTTGAAACATCAAATGTTTTCAGCTGAAAAAGTGATGAATACCAAAGATGTATAACTCATCAAGATCTACAACTTTTATTTTGATTATTTCTTCATTTGAGAGAGTGATAGTAAACATTGTTCATAAATTAACATGTCTTTCATATAGTTAATGAAACTATAAGTGATATGTGAATTTATGAACAATGTTTACTAATACTTTGTCAAATAAAGTAGTGACCAATATAAAAGTTGTAGATAGTGATGTGTTCAACAAATTTTATGTTTATGACTTTCTTATTTGAAATAGTTTAAGGTTTCAAAATCTTATTTGAAGTTGATATTTATTGAAATTCAAAATTTGAACTGTTCAAATTTGGTCAAATGAAAAACATGACGAAAATATAAGTTGTACATCTTGATGAGTTCTATAACTTTAATATTTACAAAATTTTCATTTAAGGTCATTTAGGGGAGATGAAATTGTTTTAGTTGTTTTAAATTTTCAATTTTCAATTTTTAAAATATTCTTTTTGTAAGGAACAAAATATATAATTATATATGTATATATATCATGAAATTATTTATATATATTTTTATTTATACATATATAGAATAATGAAAAAAGTATTATATAAATTTACATTGTGTTCTTTATATATAAATTACAAAATTATTAATTAAAATAAATTGAAAAATATTTGTAGGGCTGGCTTACTCAGGAATTGCCCCTACAAATTGATTTGTAGGGGCGGTCGGTATTTTAAGCCGCCCCTACAAATCGCGCCGACTATATATGCCGCCGCGCGCCCTGGGCTGACATTTGGCTAAGTTCTGGGCGCGACTCTTTTCACCGACGCCGTCAGGCTGCCAAATTTTCCCGCCGCCGCCTCCCTGACCTTTCCGCCGTGGACGCGCTCCGCGAAGCCGCCCCCCCCCCGACGCTGGCGCCCGATCTCCTCACCCTCGGGCTAGAGCTCGACATCCCTAGGCCACGACGGTGCCGCCCCATTTCCACGGCGACTAGGGTTTGAGAGGCCAAGGCCGGCTGGCCCACCGCCGCCCCATCTCCGACCTCGACCTCCGACGCTGCGACCTCCGTCCCTCGGCTCTGTCCTTGAGGTCTCTCGGCTCGCTACCGTGTCGTTCCAGCGTCACCGCGCGGGGTTCTTCCTCTGACCTGGAGAGCCCCGCCGCCCGTCTCCGTCCTCGACCTCCCTCGCTAAGGCCTCCGTCCCTTGGGCCGGTCTTCTCCAGGTATGCCAATCCCCTTCTCCATTCTTGCTTGTTTCAGACTAAGGTTATATGATGACGTGGAGCATGAGATCAAAGCTTTCCGTCCAAAATTCCATCCTTATAGAGGAGATAAGTTGCTTGCACTGATTCTTTGGAAATCTAAGAATATCAAAGGTGCTCAGAGAGTGAAAATACACAATAGTGGGGCACCAAGGACGCTGATACTTACTCCACTTCTTTAGTTCCTAGGATATAACACTAAGACATTTCGTGGAACATGATAACATAGCATTGATAATGAAGTGTTGTGTCTGATTACCCGACGTCTCTAGTCTAAACAACTCATTAGCAAGTAGTACAACCCTAGCCTAACAACTCACTATCCTAGTATAGAATGACTGCTACAGTGCTACCTCTTTAGCAAGTACAGCCCATCCCTCGTTTCTAGCTTTTCATCCGCTATTAGACCAGAAAGAAAACTTTGGAGCTGCTGCAGTGACTTGTCGTATGACGACTCAGCAACACAGAACATCTGAAAAATGAGAAATTTAAAAAGAGATCAAAATGCAAAGTAGAGAAAAAAAGGCCATGTTTTGGTCTTACCTTTAAAGTGTTATGTATCCTGTCCAGCGACATACTCCCAAAATTGGTTAGCATTCCGATGATGAATTTCTACAGGGCATACGGCATCCCAATGGTTGAAAAGTGAGCACAAACAAAATGTAAATATATATTTATTCAGTATTTCTTCCTTTCGAGCCATACCTCGTAAATTATCATTTCTTTCTTAAGTTGATCCTCCACTGAAGCCACAGAGCTTTCACCTTCCTCCTCAGTCATCTGATACGCTGCCAAGCGTTCATTCACAATACTGTTTTTGTTGACATCAGGCATGCTATCCAAACAACATTGAAATACTTTAGTTATTTAACAGTTGTGATGACATATTCAGTAATTAATGAAGCATATGTCTGCTGATTCGACAAGATAGCATGCTAATTGATGCAGAACTGATCTTGCCAATTCTAAAAATGGCTACTTCCATGTTTCTAATTTTTCTTTTCCATTGTGCAAGCTATTACTTATCTTGTTACCTATCTAGCATTTTTTATCATGTTACCTGACTACCACCTGATGCTATGTGAATATGCTGTCGTGTTGAACTAGTTGCTGGAATGTGTTGCTCGTGATGAGGCAAGGCTTTGGTTAAATTTTTATTTCAATTGGATTTCATTGGAGTAAAGGTGCGATCATCGGCATCTGGTCCTGCTGATTCAACAGCCTATTCGTTTGGCTGTGGCTTGTCGTAAACGATCATAAATTTCCAGCCAGAACAGTATTTTTCTCTCACACAAACCAGTCAGCAGTACTTCTTCACGAACCAGCAACGATACGAACCAGCCAACCGAACAGGCTCAGTCAGGACCCCCTATATCAAATTACAGAATTGTTAAATCTGCTTCTTAAACAGACCGAAGCTAACAATTATGCAAGGAAAAATGATTGTACAGACATCATGCAGCCTAGGGCATGTATAAGATTGAGAATATCCAGAATTTATTTCCACAGATAATGAAATGCAAATTATATAGCTTATGTACAACTCTAGATCAGTGTGTGATCAACTATCTAGTCCATCAAATTTTAGTCCAAACAGCTAATATAGAATAATATTGATTACACTCCAGTTTCGATGGTCATGTTACCATGATCTGCATAATGACAAGCATATTTCACATAAAAAAATAGAAGTAACAATTAGTCACTGATACATGTGTGCCAGACCTTGCTTGTCCAGAAGCTTATTCTTCTGTTAAGAGAATCCATAGGTATGCCAATTCTATAGCAAGTGTCTTTGAAGTCCAACTGCAAAGTTCGATAGATTAGTCAAAAGAGTACAGATGATACATACAATAATACAGTTCTTTAAATACCTAGATTTTTCTTAAAATTGCATTATGATTGCAGCATGCACAAGAGCTACAGTAAACTGCATGCTTCTTCCCTCAAATTGCAGTTCTAACTGCAAAAGCAAAGAGTGTTATAGCTTATACCCACTTCACATACCAAGATATGTTTTCATAGTACCCATTAACTAAATCTGTTTTTCCAACCTTGACTGTTCCAAGATTTTTCTTCCATAATAGCTTTCGTGGAGTTTTTATCTGGTGAAACCGTTTTGCGTAATCAGATAGCAACTGATTGTTATCTGGTGAAACCATTTTGCTCAAATTACAGTATCTCCTAAAGATTCGATGTTCCGTCACGAAAACACTAGTGTTAAATAAACTAAGATATAAACAACAAATGTTGGTGTAGAATTTTTTTGACAGTCAATTATCCAAACAACATTGAAATACTTTAGTTATTTAACAGTTGTGATGACATATTCAGTTATTTCCTTTAGATTCAGATTAACTAACAAATTAAAAACCTCATTTAGATTTAGATTACTATTGACATTCAGAGACAGAGAGATCTAGTAGTTACCTGCAGCATGTTACATGGACACCTTTCTTAGTAGTAGGATCCCTATTGGATGAACATATATAAGCTATCTTGAGTTTTTGCTGCTTTTGTTTTGCTGCTTCTTTCATCCCTCTGCGTGCAGTGTGTGATCAATTTTTCTACTGTTCTTTGCCATCTTTAGAAAACCTCCTAGTCATTTATGGCCTAATATGTTGGAAACTGGTCTCTCTACGCATGTGAGCAGCAGCAGCTCACTCACCCTCTCACGGATCACAATTAGAGGTAGAAGATGAACTTGAGCACAGAATGCAGCACGAACACGCCTCTGCTGGTGCAGCAAACTGAACTGCTTTCCATTGCTAAACAAGTTGATTGATATATATACATCTCTAGACAACTGTAACCGCATCTAGTATGCCTGCTACTACTATATCCACTACTAGCTACAGCTGGCCAGTATCAGGCTGAGATCAGCCACTCCTTATGGCAATACTGCTGCCAGGTTATTACTGTAGATAGAGAAGACAACAAAGATGACCTATTGCCAACTTTCTGCTGCAGCAAAGGTGGAGTGTGCAGCAGACTACATGAATCCCAAACATGCATTGGTGCATGTTCTAAGTGTAGACGAGCGGTAAAGAACCACCCAAAATGTGCATGTAAATTTAGTTAAGCAATTTAATATAATTAGTTAGGTAAGTTATTAGTAATCTGGTACAAATTGCGCAACTAGATGAAACAAGCATTTTTTCCCTTTCTAAATTTTCCTGTTTGCCTGTGTTATCTGGTGTTCCTCAAACCAGTCAAGGTTTTTAGAGCTTCTCTTTCAATGAATCAGCTTCATTGAATAAGCATTGGGATCTGTTGTAGTAGCAGAGTTGCAAGAACTACTTGTAGCGCCTGATCAGTCCTTGCTACTTGATTGATTTAATAGTTATTATTGTTTTGTTACTTCACTGCTCTATTGCTTCTAAAAATTCAGATTAAATCCATTTTCAGTGAACTGCTCGTTTCAGTCAATAGTTTATATAGTTTGTTTTGTTCTTCCCCAATAGATAGCTGTAGTTTGCTATTCCTGGCTACATTCTATGGTTGCTGGCTTGCTGCTGTCCTAAACTACAATTCAGTACTATTAACTATATATTTTTATTTGGTTTAGATTTTCCTCTGTCCAATGTGCAGCTTGGGGGCATAGGACCAGTGGGCCACTACTGTTTTTTGGTTATTTTTGCCATCAGTTGCTACTCTATGTTTGCTAAGCAGCTGTTGCTTTTTTTGCCAAATCTCCCCTCTCCTCTTCTCTCCTTTGTTTTGCCGATGATGAAATTGTTCAAGTCTATACATTATATGGAATATGAGCTGATGATCAAGAACTTGTGAGAAACTTGGCATCATTACTAACCGCCCCTACATTACATTCTCCTCTCTTCTCTATTATGATGCCTTGATGCTCCAAGTTCATGATCAAATGATGATTGACATTTTTCTGAGGCCTCTACTACTTGTTTTTTATATATTGTTGCTTTATAGGACTACTTTGGTTTATAGACCTTTTTGATTTCTTATACCTTCTCGCGTACCTAAAGCACACTTTCTTGCATCTATTAGAACAAAGCATGAAATAATGTTGCGGACACCAGACAGTGCAGCCCGATGCCCCGAGCATGATGAGCAGCCAACCTATGAGGAGCAAACACTAGAGGACCAGCTTACTTAGGAGCAGTTCGATAACGAGTTAGAAAAAGATTTAGAAGTGATGCTTACTCAGGAGCAGTGTGACGAGGAGGAAGGGGGAGCAGAAGGAAGAGCAGGAGAGGCTGTTGAAGGTGAAAAAGAAGAGAATGATGATGATGACTCAGAAGAGGGATATGTAAATCCCGAGGATCCTTTCCCATGTGAAGCCAAAAGGAGGCCAACGAAGGAAGATTTGGACAAGGATTTTGACCCGAACGAGGAGGTAGGGATAAAGCCTTAGCTTGTAAATTTTTCTAAAGCTTTGGTTGTGTTACCTCTGCTTACACTTTGACCTATCGTATATACAGGTCTCGTCGGACAAGACGGAGTAGAGGAAAGGAGAGCAGAGGCAACAGCCATAGAGATGGACATTGAGGCCTCTGCTCCACAACCTCAAGACACAACCACTAACACGACTACCAAGCCAAAGAGGAAACGAGGGGATAGAAAAGCAAATCAATATCCAGATAAGGCATGCTATGTGATAACGGAGGTCGGGCCAGCAGGGGAGATCCTTGAGCCAAAGGAATTCAGAGGATGATTCTGTAATGCGATCGAGGCCCTAGTAAGAGATAAATTAAAACCAGCAATCCCTAACTGAAAAGAGGTACCAGAGAAGAAAAATGATGAACTATGGAATAAGCAACTGAAGGTCAATTTTAGATTTCTGGAGGGTAAGCAAGAACTGGTAAAAAATGCTTTCAAGATCATGGGAGAGTCATTCCAACATTGGAGGTCGGAGCTCAACAAGAAGTATATCCAAAAGGGGTTAACTCCCTTCAACGAGTTTGGCAACATAACTTCTAGTCAATGGGAGGAGCTCGTGGCTCATAAGACTTCACCGGAGGCATTGGAGCTCAGTGTCCGTAACACCGAGCTGGTGAAGAGGAACAAACACCACCATCATCTAGGCCCCGGTGGCTACTATGCCAAGGAAGAGCAGTTTAGGAAGATGGACAAAGAGACCGCAACTTGTGGGAATATCGATGTGAAGAATTTGAACGTACGCTCAAGGAATTGGATATTTGCAAGGAGTACAGAATCATCCAGTGGTAATCTTAAGTTTGATAAGTCGGAGACCCAAGAGGCAGTATCAAGGATACTGAAATATGCTGAAGACAAGGAGAAGGGCTCATTCAGTCCTTCCAGAGAGAGGGACGAGCTTAGCCTTGGCTTGGGAAACAACGAGCACACAGGCCGCACCAGGGGGCTAAGGAAAAGGATGACCAAAAAGCACGGATTCGAAGAGAATAGGCACATGTACAAGAAACATGGCATAGACCGGGAGGCTAATCTTGAGCTCCAAGTGAAGGCTCTAGTTGCGAAGGCACTGGAGGAGCAAGGACTGTCTACGGAGCCACGGACATTAATGACGCTGCTAGGAGAACTGGCATTAGTTGGCAGCCCTCCACAAGTTCCTAGCAGCCAAGGTTCCACTGTAGCCACAACCTCCGTCGATCGCATACGGGAATCAACTAGTTGCACCTTGGTGTTTCTCAGTGGTCGGCAGAACATTGTGATGGAGGTGGCAATGGGTGTGGCACATCCTCCTAGTGGCTTACACCACAATAATAAGATACCGCCAGACTACACTAGGGTCGAGGTGCATACTGTGAAGCCCGAGTTTATGCAGTGGAGGATAGACTATGCAACTCCTGAGGGGCTGGTGTTACACAGAGAAATAATGGGGCAGTTCATCCTCTGGCACAAACAGGACATTATATTGACTACTTCTTCGCCACCTCCCCCTCTCTCAAATTTGGAGTGAGTTGTTGAGGACGGGGAGATATTTTCACCGTCTCGTGACCACCACATTCCTGAGATGCCACATTCTTTCCCGCCTCCTAGCGAGCATGTGCCTGATAAGCCACAACCTTCTCCAGCTCATACCGAGCAAGTGCATAATGAGATGCCACAGTCTTCTCAACAAGCACAGCCATTACATGAACAATGAGTGCCTCCTGAAGAAGGTGATGCACAAGAAGATGAGGACGTGCCTGAATGGGAACTTCGAAAGAAGCATCCAATTACTATAAGACCAATTTATGTTCCGATGAAAGACATCTCATCGGTGCACAAGTGGTATTCCCATGACTAGTTCAAGCCTGAGAACCAAGTTAAAAAAAGTCCCATCACGGGCTTCTGAGGAGGCCATCACTAGCAAACTCCACCAAATAGCATATAGCAGTATCCAAATGTTGATGCCATCAAATGGTCAAATGATTGCCCAAAAACATATAAAAGAGGCAAGCCCTTCCTACCAATCCGGGACATCGAACGCCTACCACTTGGAATGAGAAGGTTCCATGATTGGTACTTACATGTTCTCCTAATGAGCATAGACCTCATACAAGCATGCTTCCCCACCGGTACATTTAGAAGCCTAGTCGGAAAATTATCTTTGACTTCAATGACATGTAGACATGCTTTCACCTCGAGCAATGGAAATGAATCTAATTCGCACATGGTGCCTGTAAGTCCTTGTCCTCCCGATATGATATGAATGTAATATTTGAATTTTATTATAACTAACCCACACCGTGATTTGTAGAATGCAAGTGCACATTGTAAAACAAATGCCAAGTGTGAAAACTGGGTATATAGACCCTCAAGCTATAGCACAAACAAATTTTAATTACCCTAGACAGTGGAAACTGAATAACAAAGAGCTAGCTGCTGGAAAGATCCTTTGGGAGAAAGAGGACATCCGTACGAAGAAACTAAGGCAAGAGTCCCTTAAGGTTTTGGCATACATTGCCCTACCTTTTAAAAATCTCCAACAACACTCTACTATATGGCTACCATACAACTTCGAGTAAGTTCAACTCTATACTTAAAGCTTTGTTCGATATATTTTATTCGATGCAAAAGAGCTTATCTAATTCTATGATTAAATCCATACAGCAACCACTGGATTTGTAGAGGCGTCGATGTCGGGAGGAGCATGGCATGGGTCTTTGATTTAATAGATAGGGACCCGGTGACATACAAAGACTTCATATCAATTCTCAAGACATAT